TGAGACCAGAAAGAAAGGTGAAGTGTGAGAATGAAAGCAAATGAAAGCTTGACCCAGAAGTGCTCTCGGCCGCTCTCTGTCTCTCCTTGTATCTGACCCTCGCAACGTCAATTCCATGGCGGAGAATAACCCAGGTGCCCCCAAGTCCAAGTCTCAGTCTTGCTGCAATCTTGAAGCCTTCTTCCAGCCATCCTGTATGAGGTTTCCTGGAGGAGCCTCCCCCTGTTCATTGCCCGCACGAGCTTCTTAATGTTGCCGGTCTGAAAATAGCGATGCATGGATATAGGGAGACTGTGGAAGCTGAGGCAGTGATGTGTGTGAAGCGGAGGGAGGAGAGAGGAGCTAGCTCTGACCATCCAACCAAGCAGCCTGCAAAATGGCACTTGCGAGTACATCCTCCCAAGCTGCTTACCTGCAGCGTTGTGGTTTGCATCGCGCAGGCCTCCCCGTGTGCCGGAGTGCTCCGTGGGTCCATGCGGGGTGGTGGTTCCTAGGGCCTGACCCAGGGCACGCCGAATTCCCACTGACCGTGGTGGTGGGTCGCGCCAGTTGAACTGAAGTCCTTAATTCGCCCTTTACGCCACCACTGTCCCGTCGGTGCCGTCTTCTCAACCAGAGGATGTGGGGAAACCTTGTCAATAGTTTTCTCTTTTCTATGGCATTGCCTGTGCTAGAAAATTGCGAGGTGCAGACAAACGCCATCCAAAGGAAGTGGTTGTCTTATAATTAAATGGGAGTAGAATGGGACAGTTGTGGGTAAGAGATGGGGCTGCGATGGGTTCTCCTTCTGGCAGTAATGACCTGTTCCTGTAGCTGGATACTGCCCAGTATTCCCCACGCTTAGATGGCACGTGTATTGGTTACTGCAGCAGGCACCTGGGGCAGCGGGGCGAGCCCACGGGAGCCGCAGAAGGCAAACTGGCCACAGCGCAGGAGCTCAGCTGCAGAATGAGGTTGTTACTGCCCCCGGAGTGACGAGACATCAGGAGGATGCCTGGCTCACGCTGTTGGCCTCTTCCATGGTTGCCACTCTGCTGTTGGAAGCTTGCAGGGATCGCTAGGGTAAAAAAGAAATGGCAGGGAAGGAAAAAACAGCTTAAAAATTAAAAACTATTCCAGCTGCTCTCCATTATTTTTCCAACTCTCTCACTTTCTTTTCTGGGCTGGATTCTCATTCCAGTACAGGCTCCAGAGATGCCTTGAATAGCGTCAGTCCTTCCTGTTAATTTATTTTTTTTTGTTGTTCTCGTACATATATAAGCGATTTCATTCTTTGCACAAACCAAACCCTGACATTCAGGTCCCCCCTTGCTGAGGTGCCTGTGCAGCGGTTCGTTAATTCCCCCGGCTGCGTGCCCCGCCGACTGCCCTCCCGCGTGCTGGGCTCCGCGGGGATCCGCTCTCTTTCTGTTCCTCTGGGGCCCATCTGGTCATTTTTGTGGAACGGTTTCTAACTGATCCCACCGTGTCTGAGACCTTGGGTGGGTGCGGAGGTGGGAGAGACGGTAGCACCTGTAGCACCTTTGCTTGCCTGGCTATGGTTTTTATTTTTCCCCCCTCCTTATCTGTTATTCATTTGTAAGGGACTGGCTCCTTCTCACCGCTCTTTATACAACCCAAGGAAGGGCTGATAGTTTGCAAATTATTAGTAATTTGATTTCAATTGGATGAATAACCCGTTATAGCAAGACGTACATTAGCCTCAGAAATCTAATTGGTGATAACGGCATAGAGATGTGGAACGAGTGCTTGGTTCTGCTCCCAATCCCTCTCCCCTCCCCCTCCCAAAAAAAGATAATTAGGATTTAATTTCATTCTCACCTATTCATTTGTCTAAATATGGGTGTTTAATTATCCATCTCGGCAGATAGATGTCTCTGCCTCTATGTGGATCTGAGCTGTTCCTTTGGTATGAGATTTTCCCTCCCCCCTACTTAGAACTCTCTGATGCAGCCTTCTCATACTTTGAAGTTCGGCTGTGCTGTCTCATTATGAGCCGTGCCTTCGCCCGACACTGAGGATCACTGCCTGCAGCCTACCCATGTCGGTGGCTGCAACAGACCATGAGAAGTCACATTTTTTGGAAGGTGGAGAGTTTAACTTAGAGGCTGAACCCCACGTGGAGAGCTGGGAGCCCAGGGAAGCTCCTGCTCTGGTGGCAGTTCCCTTTGCTGCCCCCGTGGATCATTTCACCCTCCGGCCTTGTGCCCCCTTTGGCAGTGCCGTGGCTGGGAGGTACCTGCCTACCTGCTTCCTCGGCGTTTGGGTGGGATGTGGACCTTCCCGTTAAGGTACAGGGTGTGAGTCTGAGGGCTGGAAGTGCTGCCAGTTCCCAGTGCGGATGGGAGCTTTTGAACCAGGTATATTAGCTGCCCAGGTAAAAGGAATGTTGCAGCACTGCTTTGAGAGTCCAGTGTGAAGAACACATTTTACCTGCCAGGTAGGGTTGTAATAGATGGACGTTTACTACATGTTGTCAGCTCCAGAGCTGAGCACCTGTGGAAATGAGAGCCACGTGGTTAGCTGAGTTTTAGGGTGAGACAGAATGGTCAGAGGTGCGGCAGAACGGGATGCTCTGTTGCGGTGCATCTTTGTGTGGCCCTACAGAGCGCACATGGGGGTGTAGCGGGAGCACATCTGTGGTCCAAAGTGGACTACGGCCCACTGTCAGGCTCTGAACGCTGCTTGGAGGAAATGCGTGTTGCCTTCAGAGAGAGTCCCATGGGGCAGCTTACCCTAACCACAGGTTTTCTGAAGTGTACTTTTTTCATCAGGTGAGAGACCGTGGAGTTTTAATCAGACAAACGTGGCATCAAATGTACATATAGCTCAGGGCCAAAGCCTTTCATTTTGTTTGAGGGCACTGAAGAATATTTTATGAACAGAGAAACAGGAGAAGCACAAGGTTCCTTTTCAGGCTTGCAGTTTGGTTTCCAGCTGGTCCCACAGAGTTCATTGCCGTGCAGTGTTTGGAGTTCTCCCCATTTCCACTGTGCAGCTGCCAGGATCTGATTTGCACAGTGCAAGGTGCCGAGCTGGAATTAAACGGGGTTTATGAAGATTTTGTGTCTGTAGGAAATCTTGTATTCTAGGGAACAGTGCGAAATCAGGCTTACCGCCCTCCACCGATTCCAGTCTCTTGTGAGCGGGTCGGACCCTTCTGGGCCTCTCGGGGCCGTAAGGGCTGTGGCTGGTTTGAATTTGCTTTGAACTTTGGATTCAGATCAGCTTACCTGGAAAGGCCAAATGCGTCCCAGAGTTTGACCAAACTGGATTTCATGGAAATTTTGCACAATGCCCCGGTTTGGCCTGTCCTTTGCAGAAAGTTTTCAAATGTCTGAATTTTAACTTTGAAGAACAACTGTTATTGCTATAAGCTCAGTAGCTGCGAAGTACCCGTTCCATTTCTATTTGCAAATAAAATGTTGGGAAGATGGAAAGCTAGGATAAGTTTTCAAACTGTTTCATGTGAGGAAGAAGAAGAATAGGAAAAACCTAGGTACATGTGGAACTACTAAGTACAGTTCTGAGCACAGCTTTATTGGTGAAAGTTTAGTATCTACTAAAATCTAACGATCCCCTAAAAGAACTACTTGCCCCTAAAAGAACTACTCAGAGACCACCCAGACTCCCCTTTCTGAGCCTTGCAGGTCTTGCAGGAAGAGGTCTTGCAGGAAGAGCTTAAAAGGTATGCTGTCACATTAGTAAAACTTTCAGCAGCATCATGTCTTGGATGTGAAATTATTTCCGTGCTAAGAGTTGTTTTCAGTTGATTTCTGAATTAGGCTGAAGCAGGGGCCCCCATTCAGGAAAGCACTTAAACAGACACTCAAACCTGAGTTAAGTCCCATTGACTCCACTGGTCATGCTTAAGTGTTTTCTGGCCCGATTCAAAGCACATTCGGATGGGAAGAAAGGCTCTCTTTTACTTCAGCAGGTTTTAGGTCAGGCTTTTTCTGCAGGCAGATGGTCTTTAGCTACACACTTGCTTTTTCTAGTTGAGGACAGAGACAGGAGTGCTATGGGGGTACACAAAATATGCAGAAGTGCCTTTGGCCCTGCTACTTGTAATATTTGCAGGCAGTTCTGTTTAATGCTTTTGGGAACCTCCATCTGCAGGAGCTGATTTATACGCACAGCTAGGAACCAGCATGTTCGCTGGCAGCCGCTGAGAGACGTGGGAGTGGGTTAGTGCAGGGATACGGGCTTGCTTGCCAGTTTAGTCTCAAATGGCTGGGGGTCTCATCAATCACGTTGACGTGCAGAAACAGTGGTGGTCACAGACCTCCTCTGGGTGGCAGGGGAGATCAGTGCTCCCTGATACCCAGTGGAGACACCAGACCACAGAAGGTCAAGCATCTGCCTTAGCCCTCTGGGTTGGTGTAGGTGCTGTCAAGTAGCAAGGGGGAAAAAAAACCCCATCAGAAAACCAACCCCTTTGGCTTCTCTGTCTTAATTTAGGATGTTGTTCATCTAGAATCTGCTATTCCTGCTTGTCAGCAGGCAGAGTGACAGAATATGTGAAATTAATTTCCGAGGTGGGAAATTGCTAATAATTTATTTACAGCTGGGGAGGGTGTGGAGGAGGGAGTACAGAACAGACATATTTGGGTTTTCTTCACAAAATGTCAATGCTTAGCTCTTTCTGCTTCCCCTGAACGTGTCCTATTAGTTGAGACAACATCCTGCAGTCCCTATACCTGTTAGGGAGGCTGCGTGCAGCAAAGGGAGGTTCTCTCACGGCTGTACAGCTCACCTGCAGGTGTCTCGTTTACAGCCCTCCGAGCTCAGCTGCGGGCACTCAGGATGACCGTGTGTGTGCAGTGTGGCTCGTCACAGCACCCCACGGCTCCGAGGAAGGCAGTAGTTGTGGTTGAGAGCTAGGGAGAGCGAGTCCGAGAAGATCACGGGTGGGTTGTCGCGATGGAGCAGATGTTTTAAGCGGTAAGAGATGCGGTGTTCAGTGTGTGCCACTGACCTCTCTGTTTGTTTGTTAACAGGATACACACCCACTGGGATTTAAACATCTCCTTCCGAGAGACCTCTTGCAGGTACCATTTTGGGGCACCCTCTTTGTATGGTAGGCTAAGAGTTTATGATATATTACTGGCATATGGATGCTGTGAGATGTAAAAGAACATTTCTAACTGTCAGTGCTGTGGGGTTTTTTTCTTCCTCCTTTGTTCCTTTTTCTCCCCTTTACCACCTCTCCTTTCTTTTGTTTTTATTTTGGGGAAATTTGTCTTTGGGGGGAAACAGCCTCTTTTATGCTGGAAGAGAGTATTGATTAGACTTGTAAAGAAAGGCCGTTACTGGTTTTGATATGTTTATGCTGGTCCCTTTTTGGAAGAACGCAAAGTTGGGGTGGCCGAGATCTGTTTCCTGACATGAGGGACATGGGAGTCTGCATCTCATTTGCAACAGTGATTCTTTGCCCAAAAAGAATTTTACAAGTCATGTCGGGAAAAAGTTGACATTCAAAAAACGACAAGTGTTTTACATAGCATAAATAAAAGAAGTTACGTAGAAGTCTGAATTGTGAGAAGAGCAGGATTGCCAGTCTAATTTCCTGCAGTAACAGAAGGTGGAAATTTGTAAATTGGAGATACCCAGTCACAAACATGAATATTCTTTTGTGAACTCTGGGTCAGTTGATATCCTGGGCATAGTGCATTTTCTTTATGTGTTGCTAGTAGTCATAAACTTTTCTGATTCTTTAAAAATATAGCTGCAAAAATTTGCCTCTGTGCTAAAAAAGAAAGCCTGGAAATTTGAAATTTCTTTTATACTCAATTGCCACATGAGAGTAAAATGGCTGAGCCTGGCAGGTGCTGCTTGTTTTCTGAAACAAGATAAGTTAGTCTCACACCTGTGAAACCTCTTGGAGAACACAAGAAGGTAGATAGGGTTCAGAGCGGTCCAGAATCTGGTTCAGTATGTGCTTCCGATGTGGATACTGTAGAAATCGGGATTTGGTCCACTGGATCTGCTTGCAAATAGCAGTCTGCTAATAACTTTTTTTGTTTTGTTAAAAGTAGTTTCTGATGCTTTGTCTAAACTTCCTGTTCAGTTAGAGATTGACAAACAGTAGGGAAATATTACTGCTACTACTTGTGCAGGTGCCCCCTGCATGCTAGACGCTTCACAAACATTTAAGAAACGATTCCTACTCTAGAGATCAGATGGTTTGGACAAGGGAATACAAATAATTTCATCTGATGACTTTTGTGTCAGGACTTAACGCGTATAAGACTCAGTGTAGCAAATGTAGTGTTTACTCAAGAGAAGGTTGTTTAAGAGCTTTGGAGAGACATACCTATCAGTGTTGTGGCTGATGTGGGCATTTCTCTGTTATATTTGCAAGCCTCAGAATGTTTTGCACATGCAAGCATCAGTTAGAGGAGCAGAGAGGATTAGAAATTACTTCCACCTCCATCACGTGCCCTTCAAACACAGTGCTAACAGATTCTGTCTGCTCCCCCCAAAAAACTGTGGTACAAGAGTGAAAGTGGGCAGCAGAGAAGTGAAGGACAAATACTCTTTGTCATTTTAACACATTCATACATACCTACTCTCTCCCTCCCCCAACCTGAGGACAATTTGGACTGTTCTGTTGGCAGCATTGGTGTGTGAAAGTCATAGCCTAAACTGTGCACCCAGAAGTCCATCTACATTTAGTTGAGTGCTGGAGTATGAATTAAGTCTTGGCATCCCCGGGAGGCTCAGTGGAAGCAGTGGGAGTGAAGGGTGGGAATCATAGAATGGTTTGGGTTGAAGGGACCTTGAAGATCATCTCGTGCCACCCCCTGCCCTGGGCAGGGACACCTCCCACCAGCCCAGGTTGCTCCAAGCCCCGTCCAACCTGGCCTTGAACACCTCCAGGGATGGGGCAGCCACAGCTTCTCGGGGCAACCTGCCCCAGGGGCTCACCACCTGCACAGGGAAGAATTTCCTCCTGATATCTAATCTAAATCTCCCCTCTTTCAGTTTAAAGCCGTTACCCTGCATCCTATCGCTGCACTCCCTGAGTATCTGCCTTGATTCGTACTCCGTTAGGGAACGAGTGAGCGTAGAGGTATTCACTGGGATCAAAGTAAGCATAGACTTTGGCCCTGAAGCATAAAACCGCATAATTCCTAAAATTTACAATGTTAAGAATACAGAACCCCGCCCTGATCAGTAAGCATCTGGAAGCCAGTGTAGAAGGCACATCTCACCCAGCACTCCTGTAAAATCAGCTGAAGTTTTTTGTATGGCAGCCTTTAGAATAAAACCCCTGGTTTGTTGCTATAAGCTTTTGGGACTCTAAAATAGAAAAGAATGGATCCCTTCCAGGCAGATCCTTTTATGATAAATTTCAGCCTAGAGCAAAGTTTTACGGCTGAGTTATAAACTCCTAAAAGGCAGAGGTTTGTAATGGAAGTGCTGACACAAACCTTAATTAATAGCCATGTGAACAACGATTCTGCACAATGGCAATGAAGGGTGCAAACACCTTTCGAAATTAGAAACCCTGTCTTAAAAAATATTCTGAACTCGCAGTGCGTAGAATAAAATAATGGTCTGATTTTTATGTCAACAACTACACCTCTTGGGCTTCCTCAGCTTAACTGTTTAGCTCTCTCCTGGCAGAAACATCAGTAGTTCCTCCTGGGAACAGAAGTTTTGCTTTTGCAGATTAAACCGTTAATCCAGCTATGAAAAATTGTCCCCATCCAGCTAGTTCAGAAGAAAACAACATGTGTTATGCTATGTGGCAAAGAAGGTAACGTGTGTGTGTATGTGTTGGTACAGAACAAGGTTGTGTTTAAGTGACCTAAATTGCCACACAGTTCTGTAAAACATCTGGCGTATCTAAACCACATCACGGGGTGGCAAAAAGGTTTACCTGACCTTTGTTCTCCGTGACCTGCCTAATTCAGCACATGGGAGTTACCCAGGTCATCCCAAGCCCGTGCCGGGAAATCCTTACGATGCACCACACCTGCATCAGTGCACACAGTCACCGTGCTGTGTTCAAGCAGGTGTGAGCGCTGCCGTCTTCATTTGTCTGCCTCTTTGTCATATGTTTGTCTTTGATCTTCCTTTCCAAGTTGTCAGAGGATAGCTGGATTCCTTGGCTTTAGCCACCTTAGAATTGCTGTCTGCATTGCCTGGGATGAAAAGACATTTAATTGGGTACAAATCATTCTATATGCAAAGAACCAAAAGCTTGACACGGGAATTGTCCTGAAAGGGGAGATTAGGATCTCTCCTTGTCTTGCCAGGTGCTTTCCTCCTTTCCCTTTTAAGCTTTGAAGTTAATACAGGTTTAAATTTTTGTTTACAGCTAGGCTTCCTTTAAAATTGCCTTTTTAAGGCAGAATTCCCTTGTATGGACATACTGTTCTGGGAATAATTTGCTGAAATGTGTTAAAATTGTTAAATGTTGCACTTCTCCTTTTATTTCAAGACAAACCTGTCAAATTTTGAAATAGTAAATGCAAAGTTAAAGCCTGGTTTCCACCACAAGATGCCTACTCTCTGCTCCCATTAATTTCAGTGTGAGTCACAGTTGCTCCGCACCACAGACAGGATTACCTTTCTGAGGTTGAGGCATCTCATGAAAATAAATTGTGGAATAAAAAGGAGTTCCAGGGAGGAAAAGGATTTTCCTTCTATTTGTTGCCACTTGATGTCTTGAGGGAACTGCAGGGAGGTGAGTGAGAAATAGATAAGAGGCCGTGCATGTTAATGCCATGCAGTGATGCAGCTCAGGATGGAATAAACATTTTGCCCACCTGAGAATTTCAAGACACTGTCAGTGCAATTAAGCCATCCCTGTTTCCAAGGAAATCAAGAGTTGTTTAGCGTTGCCCTTGTTCAAGATGGCCTGACTGGTAGGAAAGAAGATGGTAAGTAATTTGGTTAAAGGTGTGTAAAAAGTCAAGGAGCATAGCAGAGAATCGAGCGAAGCATCTTGACGTTCAGCCACGTGCTTTAGCTTTTGGCTGCATGGTAAGCAAACTCTGAAAGGCTATCCAAGGCGGCATTTCTGTCTTCGAAGTCCTGTGCTGGTGCAGGCACAAAAGAGTGACAAAGGGAAGAGGCAGGAGCATGCAAGAGACTCTCCACTGCCATATGAACACAAAGCCATTCGAGGGGATGCTTACTGTGCCTGCCAGGGGATAATTTTATCCAGGTACGTGCCGCATGAAGGCTGCATGAGGAGATGGAAGGAAAACAAAGACATCATTTGCCCAGAGCAAATAAAATGAGTTTAACAACCACAGTTTAAACAAAGATTACGGTGGTGTGTGACCAGTCTTTCTGGATGGGCACAAACCACATTAGAATGTCTTTTAGACAGACAGACAGACATTTGGCCAAGAGCCTGTGTATCCGTGTGCACGTGTGTGTTTAAATCTGCCTATAACATGCTTAGTGGGCCTTTTCACGTTGATTTAACCCCAGCATAAACCTGTACTCAGCCAGAACTGAGTTTAAACAGCAGTGCTCACTGCGTTGTCACGTGTACCTCCTCGGTCTGTGTGGTACAGCTGCACACTTTTTAGAAAACTGTGTTTAAGGAGGAATGAAACGGGTTAGTCAAGAAGGAAGAGGACATTAAACAAATCAGGCCAAGTGGAAGAAGCAGATGAAAAATGCATGGGAAATGGGACAGGAGGAGAAAAGTAAAGGGAAAGTGACTGATTTAGCTCATTCCTTTGGAAAATACACAGGGAGAGAAAAAGAAAGCAGGAGAGGAGGATTGAAAAGTAGATGGTTCTGAACGTGTCAAGGCTGATCCTGACTCAGCAGAAAGTATTGCTGTGTGATGCAGGTAACATTATCAAGTGCCAGAGCATCCCGCTGCTCTGCCCTTTAAGGATTGATATAGGATGGCTTCTGGGCTATGTATTTATTTATTTTTCCTAGTAAGTTTTGCCTTTTAATCGAGGAGACCTGAAGTAGGTACTAAAAGGTCACGAGAAATTTTTAGCACCTGGAAGCTAGATGTGGCCCTTTTTTGCCCTGCCGTCTTTAGCATCTGCTGCTAAAAATGCTGGTG